TTTTCCAATCGATGCAGCGTAATCAACTCTATTATATATTCCAAATTTATCGAAAGTTAGACAATGGGTCCACGTATCAAAAATGGAAAATGCAAATATTATCTATATAATGGTGTTCATTTTACTCGATTAGGTACAATACTTTTTAAATCATTGAAATCGGTAAATTGGTTATGAAGATATTACACATTTTTACAAGCTATTAGCTAACCGCGGGGCGGCCGAAATACTCATGTGACGTCACGAGATCCCTACGGCCCGCGCTCTCGCTCTCCGCCATTCATTTATTAAAGTTTACTCGATCTGCGCGGGTCGTGTTGTGGTTTTGTGGTTTTTATGTGAAAATATGCCGCATTATAAGTACTGTATAGTACCGAAATGTACTAATACTTCAACTAGTACACATGAAAAACTGTTTTTTAATGTGCCAAGGGACCTGAAAGTGCGCAAAAAATGGTGTACTGTCATAAAGAGGGATGACAAAGTTCCGCTTTCGTGCCACACTGTAAGATATTGTTGCGAGGATCATTTTGATGTAAGTAGCTCCATATACCAACTATTATCATCATTACTCATGTGGTAAACAGTAACTTAGTAAAAGTGACCTCAATAATTGATTGTTTCGAGGTGCAAATTCAAAAACCAAAAACCAAACCAACTTGGTCGCAATACAAAAATTGCAACACCATTAAATTTCTCATTTCCATAACACCTGATGGAATGATTAATTTTATTTCTGAGGGGTATGGAGGGCGGACCCCAGATTCCACGATCTTTGAAGACTGTGTGAACTCACCTGGGAGTTTGGTTTTGGCGGTCAGAGGATTCAAAAATATAGCCCATTTATTAGAACAAAAACAGTGTAAGCTTTTAAGACCACCTAGTGTGAGTTCAAGCTCAAAACCCAAAAAAGAGGAAGTGTTGCAAACAAAGAAGATTGCTGCGTTGAGGGTACATGTTGAAAGAAGCATTGGAAGATTAAGAGACTTTCAAATGGTTGGACCTCATGCAACTGTCAACATTTCTTTTATTCAACTATTGGATGATATATAGCCTGTGGTATTGTCAATTTTAGCAAGATCCTAACAGTAGTGTATGTAGAAGAAAAACAAATTTGTATGAAAACTTTCGACACGAACTGTATTTCCATACAAATTTAGTTTTCGATTTCTACATACATATGTACAAGACCCCCAGGACTGTTTATTTAAAAGTATATCTTAGCCCAATAAATTTTTTTTTCTGATGGGGATGGTTCCTCGCTTCGTCTGTGAAGCCACATAAGAAATGCTACACCGTGCTTACAACCTCCCAGTTGAGCAGCACAATCATGACACTCAATTTTTAGTATTATTTCTTGTGTTACATCACAAGTAAATGTGCAGCAATAAGTTTTACTCTTTATTATTGAAAATAACGGCGTAGATAATTAAACAACAAACAACTGCCCTGGCTGACTAACCTAAAACTTTTGGGTAATTTATAGGCTACTTCAAGTATGTGTACCTACCTACTTATTATGCTGCTGTTTTGATTAGTTTGATAATGAGATTTGTTTACTCTGAAGTTACCAACCACGAATTTCAGCGCTTGTGTAGTTTAAATGATTTCTAAGATAATCAAATACCATGAAGGTATCAACTTTAGGTAGATTATCGGATTGCTCTTGCTCAAAACCGATATCTACTTACCTTATTTCTACCACTCATTTGTTATATTATAATAACAACCTTCTAATATTAAACAAATCAAATTACTTATTAATCGATTGGGTATAAACCGGTGACGTTAAGGTGCGCTTACAAGAGGGCAATAATTGCTCGGCGACACGAATGGACCGATCTGGAGCAATGAATGGAGCAATTTCAATAAAATTCAATAAATTATTTCGGCGATATTGCTTCTAATTGCTCCAGATATTTCATATCGCTCAATGTCGCAGATACGAATATCCAATGGACTTGGAAATTCCTAGCAATTTTTGTATATGTCTCATTCGCACTTGTTTGTTTTGCGACTTGCCGTCTTGCTTCCGCGGGGAGAGCGAGAGGTCTAAATAATAATAATTTCTAATTACTTTATTCAAAAGTAATTCAAAGTCTGTTCGTGACATTCTAGTAAAGTTTTTGAATAATATATCATCTAATTTTTTACACAATGAAAATTGCGGCCTCTTTGCCAAAAACGATCGCACCCAGATACGGCTATTCCTTTTCTTTCTTTTTTGTTTTTGATTAATCATTAAAAAAATGGTGCGTGTACCTACTTATGTACGCGCGGAAGAAGTTATACTTCTTTGGCTTTCTTTATTTTTTTGAAATATTAAATAATTAATAATAAATATTTAGCGTTAATAATTTAACAATATTTAATATTTAGTAGGTATATTATTCAATTATTCATTAATATTAATAATAATTATTATTATTTATGATTTTATTATATTATTAATTCAATTTAATAACTAGGTAGGTTTCATAACCTTTTAACTAAGTAACAATAGGTCTTTGTGAAAAAGCATTGCTAAATTTCTTTGAAAAAAAAATTAAAACTCATTTATTTGTTTAAAAGGTACTACAAATGTCATTATGGTCATTCAAAATTCTTGGCATAGTTGCTAACGTCACGCATATTCTATTTCTTTTTACTTGTAGATTGTCTTATTCCCATCTCGCTCGCGCACGCTCGGCGCCCATAAATATAAATTGCTTGATGTAGTCGTGACGTCATAGTTGACGAGTATTGACTGGAATTGAGCAATTTTAGTTGCCCGTGTAAGCGCACCTTTACGCTCCGTGTTGGACGAGTATTGCGAACAGAATAAACAGCGCGGGGCGCGCTGTGATCCGGCGGCAAGCGTTGAGATCTTGTGACATCATCGCTTGCATTCGCGCGGTCAGTAAACCTTGTTCGGTATTTTGCCCATAACTTTGTCAGTTTTGGTCGTAGAACAAAAATTTTTGCACTTTATGTTTTAGTTTCTCAAGGACTATAAAACTGCATTTATAACATAAAACCATTACGGGTCCCCATTAGATATATTTTCCTACATCAATATATATCCTTAAAACAATTTTTCCTATTTTTTGGGGCTGAGACAAGACGCCTTAACTTATTTTGTATGTAGAAAGTCGAAAAGTAAATTTGTAAAAATTATTCTATTCTATGAAGACGCTGGCGCTTTTTGGTAGTCAACATCAGTTACAGTTTGACTTAAAGGTCTATGTTACCAGGTCATAAACTTAAAAAAAAAAAAACAGTTACAGTGTAGACAGTGTCTTAAAAACAGCGTTTGTCCGCAATGTTGAAGCGTGATCTCAAAAGCTGCTGTTTGATAATATTCGGTAGCGCTATCGCCATCTTTAATGGCTACCGTTTTAAATACATATAATTGGTAACGGTGCGATAACGATGCACCCGAATCTGATGATACTGATTATGCAGGAGTCTTGGGGGATCTTCATTGGAACACCTCCAAGTGATTTTAGCTGCCGGAAATGCGTCAAAGTATTTTTAAAAGTTTTGTGAAATGTATTGAAATTTGTAAACAATCCACCATTATCTTTTTTTCTATTGGTTATAAGTGATGTGACATTTTCGGTAAATTAATCGAATCGATTATTTTCTCATTTGTTATTTTTAAAGTTGAACCTAATCGAATATATAAACCTAACCTAACCGATCTAAATAATATTTGTTTTTTTGGACAGCTCCTGATCTAAATAATAATAGTTTATTCAAGCCTCCGCAACTCGGCGTCTTGTTCGCCTTCGGCGACCAAATATTCATATACTAACCTAACCTAACCGATCTAAATAATATTTGTTTTTTGGACAGCTCCTGATCTATATAATAATTGTTTATTCAAGCCTCCGCAACTCGGCGTCTTGGTCGCCTTCGGCGACCAAATATTCATATACTAACCTAACCTAACCGATCTAAATAATATTTGTTTTTTTGGACAGTTCCGATCTAAATAATAATTGTTTATTCAATCCTCCGCAACTCGGCGTCTTGGTCGCCTTCGGCGACCAAATATTCATATACTAACCTAACCTAACCGATCTAAATAATAATTGTTTATTCAAGCCTCCGCAACTCGGCGACTTGGTCGCCGAAGGCGACCAAATATTCATATACTAACCTAACCTAACCGATGCTTTGTTACAGCGGGTGGGGGCTGCTCTTCCTCCGCGCCTCCGATTATTTATATACACTCTAGGGGTAAGGCACGTGGATAGTGGGGTGCTCTGATTCGGTTTTGGGTACTTTTTGAATAATTTAAAAATTTTCGGAACCATACACTAATTGAAACATGAAGTTAATGTAATGTATGTACATTTGACAAGTAATGGTTAAATTAAGTTCAACTTTAAAATTAACAAATGAGGAAATAATCGATTCTATTAGGTTCAGCTTTAAAAGTAACAAATAAGAAAATAATCGATCCGATTAATTTACCGAAAATGTCACATCACTTATAACCAATAGAAAACGTGAATTTCACATCTCTTATAACCAATAGAAAAGTAAATATTGGTGGATTGTTTACAAATTTTAATACATTTCACAAAACTTTAAAAAAAAATTAAAATACTGTGACGCATTTCCGGAGGTGAAGGGAGGGAAAAATCACTTGGAGGTGTTCCAATGAAGGTCCCCCGAGACTCCTGCATAATCAGTATCATCAGATTCGGGTGCATTGTTATCGAACCCAACCCAATAAATTAAATATATTTCTTTATTTAGTTTTTAATAACAGGACATAACTAACATTGATTCCATCCGTCCTACAAAGTTCTTACACCTCAAAAGTAACGAGTCCGAAAGTACTTGGTATCGATATAAAAGTATCGTTACCTTTGGGTATCGATACTTATTGCATATCCCTAATTGTCTCTTCATTTTGTGACTGACTTTAGTGTAACCTAAAAAACCCACGTTATTTATTTTTTTCAGGACAAAAATATTTAATTTTAAAATAATTTTATTTGGGAAATATGGGTAAACGTAAAGGCAAATGTGTTAAAAGAAATTCGTCAACAAAACAAGCGGCAGAGCCTGAACATGTTGTCAAAGCGCCACATTCTTTTGTTATTCATAGAGGAAATTGTTCTAAAAATCTAATGGATCTTACAAAAGATTTTAGAAAGATAATGGAACCGTTTACTGCATCACAGTTGAAGGTATAGTTTAGTTCTAGACTCAAGTATATATTATGTCATGTTTATATTAGTTAAAAGGAAACATCAATAAATATATGTTGATAACGTTTATCACAAAGCTATCTATTGTTACAGATACATAACTTATATAGTAATAAAGCCAAGATTTTTCTTGGTTTTTATCTGAATAGTTTTTGTCTTACAGTTTCATGACAGACAGATTGTAAGAGGTTAAAGGCAAAAGCGGTCCATTCAATACACATTCATAATTTCTCTTGGATCATGACCAAGGCCAGCCACTGCTTACTCTCATTTGCATTTTCTGAATTATTAAAATTGTTAAGGTTAATTGTTGCCTATAATCAATTCTTGCTTTTTAAATGCGAGACTACTTTGAGAGCTGTTTGTGTAACATATAATATAATAATTTTATATTTAATAGTGGTATTTTAGAAAGTAGATTTTTCAACCAGTTGAGACTTAAAAGAGTAGATTCTATATTTGGAACAAATTAAAAAATCTAAGTCAACGAAAAAGTTGGTCCCATAAATTGAACTATGTAGATATCTACAAGTAATTCACTTAAACCTGTTTATTTTTTGCTGCAGGAGAGAAAGAAAAATACAATTAAAGATTTTTTGTCTGTATCTGGTTATCTCCACGTGTCACACATGATGGTATTTACAGAAACAGAACTTGGCACATATATGAGATTGGCAAGATTACCTCGAGGACCCACCCTCACTTTCAGGGTTCAGAATGTAAGCAATTATTTTAGTTATACTTTATAGAAACATTAATCATCTCAATTGAATTGAATCATCATCTCATTGTTATTCATTTAATATGTACTAAAACCCAATTTTTATTGCAGTACAGTTTAGCAAGAGATGTGGTGTCATCGCTCCGAAAACAGTATGTGAATGCTAGGGCATTTCAAAATGCACCATTAATAGTGCTAAATAGTTTTTCCGGTGAAGGCATGCACATGAAACTTATGGCTACAATGTTCCAGAACATGTTTCCTACAATAAACATAACAAATGTTAGTCAGTCCATCATCTGTTAAGTTTTATCTGTTGCATTTTTTATCAGTTTCTTAAAATGTATTTCATATTTAGGCTGACAAAGGCTACTGGTTTTACAGGTGAAACTAAAAAATATAAGACGGTGTGTTTTAATGAACTACAACCCCACAACAAAACTGATTGACATGAGGCATTACATTATACGAGCTATACCTGTAGGATTGAATAAAGGTGTTAAAAAGGTAATTTAATTAAATGCAATATGTAGAGAAGAACTAGTTGCAAAGTATTCTTGGGTCTGCTAATAGTTTGTGCAATCAATATCATATAGCGGACTGTTTTATATTTATTGATATTTGTAATCAATAAACTGAATAACTACATATTTCGGAGTAACATGTACTATATTTATTTCCAAATTACTTAAATAATAACAATAATATTATGTCGTACGGAGCCTTAAGTGACCTTATTAATATTTTTTAAATTAAAATTATGTAAAAAATTCTTAACTTATTATGTCTTACAGATGGTACAAGGAAAGATTCCTAATCTCAATCGATGTAAAGACATGTCAGAATTTTTTGATAAGTAAGTACAAGTTACAAACATTGTGTAAAAAAAAAACCATGGCGATTAAAAAGAGTGGCGGAGAGTTTATTGCCAGGTCTTCTCTTCCGTTCTACGCACTTGATTTGAGAACTGGCACTAAATGTACAATTAGAAGCATTAATATGTAATTCTTTACTGACAAGTCATAAGTGTACAATGTGTTACCTATATGATTAAATGATTTTAGAATTTTAAAATGGTGGCAATTTATTAAATCTAAAAAATAAATAAAACAAATTGTTATCTACTAATACAGAGCAGCCCTTCTATCGGAAAGTGAGTATGAAGAGGATGCAACCAACCAGGTGACGCTACCTCAAAGTTTGGCGACTCGAGGGGCGGCTGAGAATTCTCAGTCGGCTATACGATTGGTTGAGCTCGGGCCAAGGTTGTCTTTGCACCTGATTAAAGTAATTATTGTTTGTTTATAAACGCGCCGGTACTGTCACACCGGCCTGCAATTTGTATAACAAATACTCATTTCAGGTTGAAGACGGTTTAATGGATGGTGAGGTTCTGTTCCATGAACTCGTAGAAAAGACAGATGAAGAAAAGGCGCTTATTAAAAAGAAGCGGGAAGAGAAGAGGTTATATTGCTTAATTAATTTTTTAACTAAATTATCAATTTAATCCAAATAAAAAGGTGTTCATCATGTTTCCATTTTCATTTCAGACGATTGAAAGAGAAACGTAAATCTCAACAAGATGAGAATGTCAAACGCAAACAAAAAGAGAAGGAAGACCTTAAACAAAAAGCTCTGGAGGGAATCAAAAAGAAGAAGGAGTTAACTGAGAATCAAAGGTGAGAAGAAATCATAGTTTTATTGAGTGGTTTGTTTGACCAATAATACTTTATCTAACGTGATGTCAATTCGCCCTTTCAGGCTGTCGGAGTTGGCGGACGCCGAGGGTCAGGAGCCGGAAGACGACGCCGTCTACTACCGCCAGGAGGTAGGCGCAGAACCCGAACCGGATCTTTTCAGCCGAAATCCTTCGAGGAAAAGAAAATCTGACGGCACTGACGAACCTAGAGGTTTCAAGAAAATGAGATTAGACAAGAAATTAAATAAAAAATATCAGAATAAAAACGAGAAAAGCACTACGAGAGCCACAGATCGGGATTCTAGAAATAGACAGCAAGGCGGTGGAAAATTCAAAAATTCTGACTCGAGGAACAAACGGGCAGGAGGAAAATTTAATAAGTTTAACAAATTGGGGAACAGTAAATCAAAAGGGGGAAAGAGTAAAGGAAACCAGAGAAAGTGATTATTTTATCAAATAAAAGACTAAAAAATATGTGCTTTTTATTTATTTAAAAATATCATAAACCTGATTCTATTCGTGTATATTGATTGTTCATTGATAACATTAAAGATTAACAAAATATGAAAGTTCTAATTGAACCTTTAAAATTCAGCAATATTGATCAAAACAGAAGATCTCTAGTATTAAAAAGGCAATAACTTCGAATTGATAGTTCAGACTTAGCCTCACAACATAACAGACATCTCGTTCGCTGAGATCAAGTCGATAACAGATTCGACATTGAAAACAATCAAATGAGAAACACGATGTCGTCCGCCATCATGACCTGGTTGTCGTGAGTCATCGCAGTGAGAGCGGCGGCCACTTCGGCCCGATCGAAAGGCGCGCTCGGGTGCTTCTCGTCCAGGTGGCGCATGATGCGCTCCAGAGGAAGGGAGTTGGCGCGCTCGTCCCGGAACAGCTGTTGCAGCGCGGCCTTGAAGAGGCTCAGCCTGGCGACGTCCAGCTCGAAGGCGGGCCCGGGCGGCGCGGCGGGCTCCGGGAGACCGCTCCTGGCGGCTCGCAGGATGGGCTGCGCCTCCTCGTCCGACGAGAACGCGTACGGGTCGGCGCCGTCGCGGTCCTGCTGCATCGACAGATTAACTTTCGCCCTTTCGCTCTCGTACGGCATGCGACGGTCGACGGACCGTCCTTTAACCGACGTACCGTTTTCCTCGTCCGTTTGGGCTTCGGCCGTCGCTCGGCGTCGCCGCCGTCGTCCGCCTCCTCGGCGGAGGACGCTCGACGCTTGCGCCGCTTCTCCTTTGCGAGCACCTGAAACCGAAGTCAGAAATTAAAGGCCGACGGCGAGCGGCCGCAGCGAGCGCGGAGGCGGGGCTCACCCTTTTGAAGTAGGCGAAGTGCACCAGGTGAATGGCGGCCAGGGCGTCGCGCTCCGACACGAGAGAGCTGAGCCGGCACTTGGCGTGGGCCGTGGCCAGGCGGATTAGCGTCTCCAGGGTTCGGGCCGTCACGGGCTGCGTCCTGGCCACGTCGGTCTCGGATTCGTCCCGGTTCCTCAGCTTGGCGTACTCGTCGGCGATGGCGTCGGAGGCTTCCTGCGTCAGTTTGGGCTTGATGAGCTTCGCGATGTGGATGTACTTCCGCATGAACTTGGTGCTGAAGATTTGGTCCTTCTTGTTCCGGCTCTTGCCGTGGAGGAGCGGGTCGTACTTTTCGTATATGGTGTCGGCCGCTTCCTGGAAAGTATTGGCGCAAGGTGAAGAGGTTTTCTCATATAAAATTCATTGTTTATCGGCGAATCGACGGATTCAGGGACGAGACGTCACCTCCGCATCTTCGTCGTCGGGATTCTCCGTCGACAACATTTCGACGCTGCAGCCCATCGGCAGCACTTCGCCGTCCCGCTCCTTCGGATTTCTGCAAAACGATAACGACGCCTTGAGACCCGAGCTACGCGTGTCGACGGCGAGCGCTCGAGGGAGACTCGCCTGTATCGGTGCATGCGTAGCACGTGCTCGGAGATGGCGTCGTCGTGGTCGGCGTCGGAGACGTCGAGCATGACGAAGAGCAGGTCGAAACGCGACAGCAGCGAGTCCTGCAGGCCGATGTTCTCCATGGGCGTCTTGTAGCGGTCGTAGCGGCCGTAGACGGGGTTGGCGGCCGCCAGCACGGCGCAGCGCGCGTTGAGCGACGCGTGCACGCCGGCCTTGGCGATGGTGACGCGGCCTTGCTCCATGACCTCGTGGATGGCCGTGCGGTCCACGTCCGACATCTTGTCGAACTCGTCGATGCACACGACGCCGCGGTCCGCCAGCACCATGGCGCCGGCCTCGAGGCGTCGGTCTCCCGTGTCGGGATCCGTGGTCACGGCGGCCGTCAGCCCCACGCCCGACGAGCCGCGGCCCGTGGTGGTGATGGCGCGCGGAGCCGTCGACAGTACGTAGCGCAGCAGCTGCGACTTGGCCACCGACGGGTCTCCAATGAGCAAGATGTTGATGTCCCTGTTGGCCGAGTTGATGAGGGCTCTGCCTTAATAGCTTTCGGTTGATCCATATACACATTGCTAATTGCTATATGTAGTATAACACAGTACTCATATATTTTAAAAGGAAAAAGAACTTACCCTCTCAGTCTTGTGCCATTGGGCAAGATCTTCTCCATCCCACCGAGTAGCTGACACAGAATAGCCATTTTGATGTAGTCGTGACCGTGTATAGATGGTGCCAATGATTTACTCAAGAGCTCAAAGATGTCAGAATTGGTCCTCTTAGCGAGCCGCTTGCATAGTTTGATATCCTCCAAAGAAACATTGAGATTCATGTCTTTATTGATTTGGGTTATGTTGTTAGCTATTAGTATTGTTCTGGAGAAGAAGATATCATTGAATTATTTTAAATTGCATTTTGTGTAAACTATGTAATTTCAACCATAATTTTTTTAATCAAGACTAACCTAAAAGTACCCGCAGTAAAACTTCCTTGCTTTGATGGCAAGCATCGGTAATTGCCCACTATCTGCACTCTGTCCCCGGGCTTACACTTATCTACAAGATCATCATCACACACTATATCCACACTCCTGGGAAGCTGCCCGGCCGGTGCCTTCTCAGGCATTTCCTGGACTGTCAATGTTTGATGGTCTTTATACCGTGACAGACCATATTCTGTTTCTAGAGGGTTGCCTTCATCATCCTAAAAATAAACTTTAAATATAATCATATGTACTACAGAAATGTACGAGATCAATCATCAATTATAGTAATGTCTAAACCACCTTAGTAGGATACACAGCCGTAGTGGGGAAGGCTTCAAATGATGTCAGATCAGTGTACTTCCTTTCCATAACCTTCTTTGTAGCTGGGCAATAATGGACACTACGAACTACCTTTGGCCGTACCAATGACACTCTTGTAACAATTCCTTCCACACATATTAAATTACCCAGATACCTAAAATATTTTTAAAAAATTTGAAAATGAACACTGAATCTTAGTAAAAGAACTAATCTCGAATGTTTTTTACCTCGAAGTTAAACTCCGTGGCGTAACATGTTTTGTACCAAAGCTCCCTGAAAAGGCAACAAAAAACTCTTCCTGGTCCTTAGCATATGTTGGGTCTATAGATGATACATATTCTTTCAAAGCTCGCTGGAATGCTATTTGTTCTTCAAATGCATTGTCCAACAAGTTTTTAGCCCTATCAGGATTTTTTCTCCTCAAATCATTTATATTAACAATAAGACGCTTGCACTTTTCACTTATCATTTGTTTCACTCTATTCATATATATACCTTGATCTTCCTGAAACGAAAAGTAAATATTTATATACAACTTTATTACATTTTGTTGTTGGAGGTCTAAATAAGAAATATACCTCATCATCAAGAAATTCCAGATATTCCCTTTGTAGATCCCGTAGCCTTTGATCAAAGTCACCGTCTTCCATTATAGTATGAGTTTAATATAAAAAGAAAAGTTAAGGGAAAAGCCTCGTAAAAAGCCGCCAAATAATTAATTACAATTTACAAGTATAGTATTATGTCAAGTTTAAAATTTAAGTTTTAAAACTTAATTTTCAACAAGCTTAAAATATGAAACTAACAAATTTTGACAGATTTAGAATTTAGCGCGAAAATGTATGCACAGATAACGAATCTTATGATACAGTTATTGAGATATTGGACTTATTTGGTGGCGTGGACACGTGGTGGTGAAAATTGCCAAAAAAAAAGGGAGTTTGATGTTTACTCTAACGGGAAAATAGACGACAAATAAATTCGCAAACGAACGCGTTATTAAAAATAAGTTTAACCGAAAATCAATTGTGAACGTCACGATGCAGAACAAATGCATATTTATCACTGCACTAGTAATAAAAACTTAAATATTCTTCATTTTTTATGTTTTAAATAAGAATTCTTCCTTCTTCGAAAATATTTTAAACATAAATAATTTCTTAAAAATAGGATCCTTTCAATTATGTCGTATGTTTAGAATAAAGGAATTTTAATAATTCCCTAAATGCAATCTTGAGTTGAGATAGTTAATTCGAGATCTCGTGGGATTAAAAATTACAACCTCGCGCGATCTCAGGTAGTTTTCGGAAACTAATTGTTTACCCTCGTCGAACGACTAAAACACAATGAAAAGTGCTTTTTGAGGTTACGATTTTATTTTAAAGAAAATATTTATTGTATCTCATATTTATTATAACTATTCCTATTATTTATTAACTAATTATTCAAAATAAATAAAAAAACATTTTATTATATATTAGATAATATTTTAATACAAGCCTTCGCAGTGGTAAATACAGAGTTATTTTCATAATTACATCTATCTACCTGTTCAGATCACGTGTGTTCCAAATCTTAACAGCTGACGAGCAATTTTAATTAATTAATTATATTTGAATATTGATCATCTGATGACACGGCTCACGTGTGTTCCAAATCTTAACAGCTGAAGATGCGCAATACACCAACAGCTCACTAGAATATTAAGATGTATTTGTGAATAGGTGTAATTAGTATTTAAAATAATGTTTTTGAATAATAAATTAGATTTTAATATTGCTCTATCTTATTCATTTCTCGCTTTCGATTGAAGTGGAGCATAACGTGAGTGAGGGGAAGATTGAACAATTTTTTGATGAGATGAGCAGAGTTGTGTTTGAACCCTGTTGCAGAACAATATATATTAACCTATACATTAATTATAATGGCTTTGATTAGTAACGAGCAAAAACTATACTTTTCTATCATATCAATAACATATTGTTAAATCTCTCCAAAGCAGAGAAAATAGGTTAATAAAAAAATAGAGATACGACTACAAAATAGGGTAAAGATGAAAACGTGACGGGGAAAGATTGAAATTTTTTCTAAAACCGTTAAAATTAATGTGAGATGTTGTCAACGGTTTTAAGTCTTACGGTTTAAAGCTTTTAGTGACTTGAAAACTCACATCTGACTTTAATGAAAAAATACTTTTATTTAACAAAGATACAGCTAATTGTTTATATATCAATCTTACTACTTATTAATTGTTTATATATCTGGGATAGATTGAAACAGACGTTCTCAAACTTTTGCCATCTCAATTTTCCACGAATACCATCATAAAATTTAGGGGATATAAGTATTTTTGTTAATTGGACTAACGGCCGTAAATGTTTTTACGGCCGTATTTTATTTGCCTGTGTCATGTTCGAGAGGAGGGGGTTCCCTTCCTTCGGAATAATATACGGGTTTATTTGTGTTATGTTCAAGCGATTTTTTTCAGAAAAAGTCCATGACGTTTACAGAATTTGAGTAAACCAATCTGGTCCTGGAACATGGTTCTTTAATGTGGTAATATAGCGTTCCACGAGAAAAATTACTTCTTTTCTAGATAGCTCAAAACCCCATTTTTTCAAAACTTTAAGGCCATTCGCTAATCTGATTTCGAAATCACGATCAACGACAGGAGGGTGACCCTAATGTCACAATGCCGGTTTTTATTTTAAGTAAAAATTTGGATAGATAAGATATTTAAAATCGAATTTTAATTCATTTATTTTTCATGCTTTGCAAATTCAATGGTAATGTCTACATAGTCCCGTGGAAATATCAATAAGGTATGTTGCCAATTTATTTCCTGTTACCAGTTAAAGTTTGAGAATAACTGAATATTTGGATGATACTGGGGAACGGAGTAAGATCGAAACTTTTGTATATTTATAGATAATAATTAATTTTTGGGTAAAGATGGCAAGTTTAGATTTTTCCTAAATGACAAAAAATGATGTGATTTCGTAACTAAGAATAAAAATTCCTATGAAACAGTCGTACCTACTAGGTACCTATCTTGTAATTAAAGTTACAGTACACGGGGTAAGATTAAATTCACTTGAAAATTTTACGAAAAAATTACGACGCAGAAATTATTCAAATTTACGCACTCCACGCACTCTGGGCAGCTAACTTCGAATGTGCTTTGGAACGTTAGAAACTGGCGGTTTTAATAAAAATACCAGCACTCCGAAAAATACGTTAAAATTGGTGTTATAGACGATTTGTTGTCTTACCCCATTTTTCATCTTGCCCCTACTTACCCTATTTAGTTATCTAGTGCAGCTTGCTCATACATACATTACATATAGTATATAGATACTTTTGACATTCAATACATATACATTTTAAACACACATTTCACAGTCCACTGACTAGCAAGCTGTACACTACCTATGCTAAAAATTATAGAGCTATTTTAGATATAACTATCGATAAGTATCGAGAATGCTGTCTGCGGCACCATAAATCAGTCTTTATGTACCTGTCACCGTAAAATTGTAAACACCGTTAGATTGTAATCTATCTCGCGAGATTGTAAACTGTCGAAAGATTGTGAACCTCAACGAACTGCTTACAATTTAACGTATTATTATTCGGTAGATTGTAATCTATCGAAGTGAAACCGTCAAATTGTGAAACGGCCATTTTCTACTTTTCTATTGGTTATAAGTGATGTGACATTCTGGGTAAATTAATCGAATCGATTATTTCCTCATTTGTTAATTTTAAAGTTGAACCTAATCGAATCGATTATTTCCTCATTTGTTATTTTTAAAGTTAAACCTAATTTAACCATTACTTGTCAAATGTACATACATTACATTAATTTCATGTTTCAAATAGTGTAGGGTTCCGAAATTTTTTAAATTATTTGCCGGGATCGGGATCTCGCTCTCGCTAGATCGGGATTCCCTAGTAACAATGTTAATATAAATAATTAATTAGACGAATTTGAATAAATAATCAATAGTCTTTAACTGTTGCTGTTTTGGTTCAGCGGCTGACATTAAATGGCCTATAAGTCGTATAACAGCATTTAGCTTTATCAAGACATATCCACTTGGTATGTGATTCACCAATTTAAATTAATATATTAAGAGTTATACCATTGATTTGATTTATATGACAATTATTTAAATTAAATGTTTCTAGATTTTTCTCGTTTCCGTTACCGTGGCCATATCACAAACCTACCAGAAAGTTGAATTTAAGTAAAGTTATCCTCATTTTCAGAAGACTTTTCAGGCTTTTGCAGAAAAACTGTACATGATACTATCCAATTTCCCTGACTTGTAACAATTCCAAGTATATATTATTTCTCTATGAACAATTCAATTTAATTCAAGTTCAATAATAATTGGAGATAGAAAATTAGCATATATTTGACAATTTGATATCGTAGTACCGTAGTTCGTAGACTAGTAAATTAGATATATACTGTGTATTAGACGGACGTGTAAAATTCGTTGCGTATTTTTCTATTCTTTGTAAACATCTACATTTTTTAAAGCTTTTAAAATTTAAACCATCTTGTAAATTGTAATCATAAACTAAAAGAATTAGTCTATTAAACCTATTATTTTAATTTTCGTGTCTTGGAATTGGTATTTATAAATTAACATGTCGGAAGTAAATTCGGATACAAACCCATCTCCGACCCATAATAAGAATATACGAACAAAGTTAAAAATATTAGCCTTACATGGATACAGACAGAATGGAACTTTGTTTAGCGGAAAAATAGGTTCCTTTCGAAAGACTGTGTCAAAATATGCTCAGCTAGTTTTTATTTCTGCTCCACATAAGGTTTTTACTGACGATGGAGCCGGGGATGAAGGTACATTATTTGTAACAATTTAAAATTAAATTAATCCATTACAATGTTACAATTCCAAGAATCGTTTTAAGAATAATATAAAGGCATCAATACCCTGTAAAATTTTGATATATTTGACATCATTTTAAAAAGTCATTCATTCAAAATTCTGTTTTATAATGCATATTGCATCTGTATAAAAATAAAACAAATTTATTGGTTGTACTAAGCCTCATCATTATATTCCCTATTATGTCTTAAATTTCTAGTGTTATGAGACTTAGTTATTTATAATAAATAAAAGGATTAAGGTCTTATTAAAATATTCTAAAATTTATTCATAGATGTTCGCTCGTGGTGGTTCAATGCAGAAGACAATACATACAGTGGCAAATGCTTAGGAGGGCCAGCCATAGGCTTTGAGGTTACTTTAAGACTAATTGAAGATGTGGTTAAGGAGTATGGACCATTTGATGGATTAATGGGTTTTTCTCAAGGAGCTTGTCTTGTAGGCCTGCTTGCAGCTATGCAACAGAAAGGGTGTAGGTTTAATAAATTTTTTATTTTATTTATTATTTAATTAGTTTTATTCATATAAATGTATGTTTCAGATCTACCATACACTTTCAAGTTTGCAATATTTGCATCAGGATTTCGTTCTGGTAGTTTAGTGCATAAAGGATTTTATGATGAAGATATAGATTTACCTTCTTTGCATGTTTATGGGGAAAGTGATTCTATTATACCTAAAGGTAATGAAATTATAGAGAACTATGTAATTGATTTTCTTATTGT